TAGAAGGAGCCAACACTGGGCCAACATGATCCTGTTGTAATCACCCTTTTCAAAGAAGCTGGCAGATACAATGCCCACATCAGGCAAGGGCTTATTTCAAGTCCCGGAGGCACTGGTTGACACTAACAGGCAGCCTGGTCAGGAAACACACTGAGTGAAGATGGAGTAATAATGCCTACCTCTTTCTTCGGCATAAATCTCAACTAATCCTCAGGTACATATTATGCTTCCCAACAAACAGGTGAGGAAACTGAGGCTTTGGTTAAGCAAATTGCCTGAACTTGCATGAGAGTTGACTTTGAATCCACGGTTAATCTGGCTCCAAAACCCAGTCTTTCTGTTACACAAAGCTGCCTCTTTTAGTAATCCATTGATTCCTAAGATAAAGATGTTAGTGGGAAGAAATTAAGTTTTCTGAGGCAAGAAAAATAAACTATATGGTAGAGTAATTCAATTCTGCTCCCTTTACAGGATTATGGAGGAAGTAACTGTCATTTCACACCAGTTTCAATGTCACAAGGCTCCCATCCTGTCCCCGTGCTAACACACCTCAGCACCACAATATATATCAATAATTACATTAAACATCTTAAGAGACCAAGCGCACCACAATATATATATATATATATATATATATAAAGGCCTGAAGATCAGAAGGTTTCTCACTCAAGGGAGGCTGCAAAGTAGGAACTCAAATGCCAACTAACCCTTCAAGATCTGTATTTATGTGCATTGTCCTTTCCCTGCAAGAAGTGATCCATTGGTCCTAACACTTTCTATCATATATATACGAGGAGCTAGAGGGAAAGGATTCAGTGAGGAGAAAGGCATTGGCAGCATCACTGGCCCAAATTTCTAGAACCTCAAATCGTGGGAAGAAAAGGAGCTGTCTTAGGGGCACATTATTGCACTGAAATTTCTGGTGATTGAGACTGGAATATTAATTTCCCCAAAACTCCCAGATGACTGTCACACACTTTATTGAATTACAATCACAGCTCAAGAGAGTGAGCCCAAGAATCAGTCCATCAAGAATCTATCCCTAGAGATCCCATAGGATTAGGGAAATGTAAGACTCAGATGCCTTTTAAAGTTCCTAACTCTCCATGAACTGATGCAGCATGTTTTCCGAAGTCTGTTCATCATTTAAACAGTCTGAACCTGGGAAGTGATACTTCACACATATTCTATCACCACCTAGGATATTAAAGAGGTCACCAGTGCCAGGGAGCAATTAAGAGTCTGTAGGTCATGTCTCTGAATGTCTGAGATAGGGATTAAATTTCTAGAGCCCCAATCACAGAATGTATAGGCAACCAAGTCACTATGAAGGAATTCAGATAACTAAAGAACTAAGTTTGATGGAAAGGAATAATAAATGTATTACCACAGAGGGACTTATGTAGAAGTGCGGTCTTATACTTCCAGAGTTCATACTTTCCGGCAAATTTATTTGCTACTTTTCATATTTTAAGGATAGAGGCTGCTCAAATTTCTACTGAGCTTTGGGAAAACTTTTGTTTTACTTGTTGACCTTGATAGACTTCTGATACAGCTGAAAGACTAGCTGCTGCTGCTTCTCCTTGTGTCAATGAGGGTAAAGTGTTGATTTAGTTAAAACAAACACAAAAGGATGGAATGTAATAAGGTAGTTCTTTTTGCAAGCATGATAGAAAAACAATCTCTAAGATTCTATGAACCGGAAGTGCATGGTTTTGGCTTGCTATGACCTCAGCTCTTAAAAGGGTAATATCCTCTCTGCTTAGCCACTGGATTTTTTTAAATGAATTTTTATCAAAGTGGCTTCTCTCCCCCCAGAAGCAGGCAGCTCAAAGTCTCAAAATAAAAAAGTTAAATAGACAACATCAGAAAAAGTTCAAGCAGTAAAAACTAGTGCATCAAAATAAACTTTTTTTTTACTTTTTATGAAAGAAATAGGAAGTGAACTTTTTGATAGCTCCTTAATAACTCAATGCTTCTGCACCAAGTGAGAATGCAAGTTCATAAACAGGTCTGATCCAGGATGGCCATCAATCTTTTGCAAAGTAAAAAGAAACAAATTTTCATAGATGACTTTTTCTCATTTATTAAAATAAACTGCAATCTGTCTCCTAAAATTCAACTTACTATGCCAGCTAAAATGATGTTCCAAACCCCAACCTAGTCACATGCCAAATGTTCTCATCTCAAATAAGATCTGCCATATAAACACTTTGGTGAAACCAATGTGGCAATAATATAGTGCAAGTCTTAAAAATAATTTTTAAAAGGATACATCACAGCTCACATTTCAACATCTACAGAACTTTATTAATAAGCAAAAACATGTGCACGTGTTCTATATATAAGCAAGGACATTTCCATAACATTAAGAGGCATGGTTACCTTCTAGCAGTTACTTTATCAAGAATGACGTTTTTAAAAATAGACTAATATATTTCATGACTGTTTGAATTAAATAAACAAAATATCTAACAGCAGTTTAAAAATATAAGAGCTTCTTGCTTAGTATCTACCATAAGCTGGAACCATTCATATATAACCACTTCCATTTAAAAAAAAAAAAGATTCTACTTCTGTTGTATAGGCCAGATGGTTAGGAAAGGCTGTGACGATCAGCTCCCACCCTCATGCTCCAAATTCTTCTCTCAAAAGGAAGTGGGCTGAGGCAGGCACTTCTCAGTACAGAGTATGGTTACATACAAGATGGCCATTAAGTGTATCCTCCAGACTGGGACATTGAAAAGTAAGCAGAGCACTGTTTAATTAAGCTGAGAAAACACAAATAACCAACAGTCTTCTGAGCAGATTTAGGACATATATTTCTCTAATTAAATACAGTCTCAAATACATTATCATCATTATTTTTGCACTTCTGGAAAATAAAGAACTCTGAATTTTTCTCCAATTAAACTTTCTGAACACCACTTTCCCTATATGAGAGATTTAACTGAAAATATCAGTGGTTGTTATTATAGGTTAAAATTTATGAACCACCTCAAAGCCATGGGATATATCTTGTAGACTTCAAAATAAAAGATTAGAGACTAGTATTTTGTTTTCTATTAGACTTTCATTTTAACTATGCAATAGGATTCATCTTCAACTTTAAATTTTTTAAATGTATCCTGAACATAGGACAAATTAAAACTTCTCTCTTGAATAAATAAAAATGGATTATACTGGCCATAAATAGCTTCTTCAATATAGTAACAAATTTTTGTATTAACTTCCGAGCCCCAGTTCACATTCATTCAAAAATTGTTTAGTCACCCTAACACTTTTCATTCTCAACCTTTAAGGCAAAGTGCAAAGATGGTATGCTCCCCAAATATAACGGCAACTATTATATCCGAACTCACGGGAAATGAGCAGCATTGTATCAGCATGGAAGGGATGTAAATTCAAAAAATAACATTCTGATGCCCTGCTTGGACAATGAGATTCAAGACTACAATTGAATATAGAGGATAAGGTAATGTGCACATTTGAATCTTATAAATTTGAGGGGAAAAAAATCAAAACAAAAAGAAATGTTTTGATGTTGGATCAAAAGGGACACATCCATATTCAGAAGTACAAATTACCACAAAAATGAAAATAAAATTTAAAAATAGTGTTTGATAATGGACCAAGTTATTTAAAACTACCAAGTATCATAGCTTAATGTTATTTAACAGTTATTAAAAGAACAACACATGGGTCTACAGGATATTAACGAGACAAAGAAGAGATCTAGCATGAGTTTACATTTCTGATAAATATGTTTTAATTTATTTCCAGCTAAGGCAACTAAATATTTTTGCTTTCCTTACCCCCATAGTATTGTTTAAAATCAAGGGGTATAACATATGTACTTGATTGAATGAGGAAAGCAAAATTTAGGAGGCTCTGTTAGCAAAACGAAACTGCATGTTTTACTTATCAAACACAATGATATAAATCAGAAACAGAGAAATACAAAAGAAGTTATAAAGCATAACAAATTTTATTTTTTCAGAAATGGAAAGTGTCCCTGAATAGTTTTAGATGTATCTTTTAGTTGCAGTGCCTAGTAATAAACAATTACCATATTTCTGTATTAATGATTAAACTAAATACATTCTGTATTAATGTATAAACTAGACTATAATTCCCATCATTTCTAATCTTGGCATTCAAAAGAAAAAAAGATGAGACATAAAATAATTTGCACAAGGCAGCAGCTTGCCAACACAGATTCCACTTGCAATAACTGTCACATACAGACACACTCTCAAGCACACATCCACACCCCTCACCCCTCTATTTCACAAAGTCACATTTCTCTAACTCAAAACCAGACATTTCCCATAGCTTGATTCAGGAGGTAATATTAGGCTAACCCTAATATTACAGCGCAAAAAGCTATTAATTGCAGTTTTTATTAAGTTGAACAAACTAAAAAGCTAAAGAAAAAGAAATTACAATGATATTGAAAGATTATTTTTATTGAATTTTTAAAAGACAAATGAAAATGAGAATATCTTATTCAGAAAATTAATTACCTAAATGAAATAAATATATCTAATACAATCTCTTCCTGCAAAAATTTCTAAAATAGGAAATGCCAAAAACCAAGTCTAATTTCAGAAACCCTAAAACTGGCATGTCCCTTAAAAGAAAAAAAGAACTTCTTTATAAAGGACATGTAGAATACTCACATTTGCTTAAAATTTGTTCTAAAAAAGAACTCTATCTGTAACATCCAAATTTTTTCTATATATTAAGTTCACTTAATTTATAATTAATGAAAAGATACCTAGACACAATTTCTAAGAAAACAATGAAGAAAGAAATTTGTGCATGGTTATTTACACAAAGAGCTTTGCTAAATAATGTAGAGATCATGTTCAAAAATTTGACAAAGCCTGTCTAATAATCAGCACTTTAAGTCTCAAAAAAAACTTCTTTATATATAACAAAGGATATTTCATGTATAGAGCTATTAGATAAATCTAAGACCAGAAACTATAGTATTGGACATGGTTAATAATTTCATTTTTATTATACTAAATGTCAGCTCAGAAGTCACTGGCATCTACATGCTGGAAGACCATTTTCCACTCAACTCTTTCAATTATATCAAACACTGATTAACCAAATGTGACTGAATTTTACTGCTACAACTTTGTTTCTTTCAAGTATAGGAAAATCTTTTCAATGGGCACATATGCTAATGTGCAAAACAAATGAAATATAAATACTTAAGAGAATGAGCAGAAATGGTTTTAAAATATGAACCACCCTGTCATTCCACTTTGAAGCTCTAACTTTTCTTCACTAATTTGGCTTTTGTTATTAGTAGTCTTCTATCCTGTTAAAGTTGTAGGTTTCGATGATCTGGAAATTTCACATTGGTGTAAGAAAGGAATGTCCAGCTGATGCAGTCTAGGGAACAAAGAAAGAATTAATCTTAATATGTATTAAGTTGAATTTATAAATAACAAAATATATAGTGTAAATATTAAATATTACAAACAATACAGCAAAAACCCAATTGTAACATTACATCAAGTATATAATATTCTTTTGTTAGAGACAACAAAGTAACATATAGCAGAATGTATTCTAGGCTTTAAAGCTTCTGTAGGAGAAGTGTAAAAAATGTTACGTGTAAAAAATGTTTACATCATATTTCAACTCTTAAAAATGCAAAAAAGATATTCAGACTGACTATTCACAGAACATCAGTTGAAGAAGTAAAATTACTTTGCCATTTACCTTAACAGTTAATATTGACACTCTTAATGTAACTGCTTGCAAGTGCATTATACTGGCTTAAAAAAAAAAAAAAGTGACACCTTCCATGAAAGGTAGGAACCTTAACAAGGCATTTAAAGTGGTACTTTAATATGTCCCAGAAAAGCAACTGTATTCACTGTACTCGTCAGCAGAAAGAGTACGTATAAGTGATAAAAACAATTTAAGTAACAAAATCACAAACCACACTATTTATAAAATGAATACTCTGGTATAGTAGCCATGAAACATTTACTTGCACTTACATTCAGAAATTGTTTCAGTAAACATTTTGCTTCTGCAGTTCAAATACTTTAAATGTTCAAATTAATTCTAGATGTGAAACAGGCTAAGGAATAAAGATATGAGGTATTTTTATGTAAAGATAATAAGTGCACAATAAATAAATGTGAGTACTATACACAAAGCTTCCAGAAAACCACTGGGTTAGCTAGTAAAACAACCTCTGCTCAGTTCCTTATATTCTTTATTTAAGCTATAGACTGCACTGTTCATACAAACTGTCAACATTAAAAAAGCAGTAACAGAGTTCCCTGTTCTATTTTCTTCATGTAATTTTTACTCTAATCCAGTTTGTTAAGGTCAGAACATGTACATGGCAAACTGCTTTTCAAACAGAATTTTTGTTTTTTCACCAGATGTTTATGTGGAATCACACTGTTTTGTGCAAAAACACCATCCCTTCTATGTAAGTGCATTGTCATATTTTGTTTCTCAAGCCTTCAAATTTTGTGTGATGACTACTTGGCACGTCTTGTAAGTCAATTTTTTAAAGTTTTAAAAGTCTCATTTAAAGTTTCCATTTAGTCACTATATATTTAAATTTATGAATTTTAGAATTTAGAAATTCTCAAAGTTTTCTTAAACTTCCTAAATTTCAATGAACAAACTGGTTAATAGTATAAAAACACATTAAATGCTAAATCTGAGTAAACAACGCAAGTACACAGTAAACAGCAAGTGTTTGGTGAATGTGTGTAAACAAAGGGAGAGGACGGTTAACATGTTACTATGTCTTACCTCTATAGCAAGAAGAAGTATCTTGTTCTATGAGCAGCTGCCATACTTTCAGACATGTTTCTGACTTTTAGATAATTAACAAACCCTCTGAAGAAAAGAAGCAGACCTGAGGAGATTGAAATAATATATATGTATTATGTTCTTATACAGAAAGGGAGCATGATAAATTTTAAATAATTATAACAAGATTTTCTTAGTTTAAGGAATTTTAATATGTAGGATTCCTTCATTCCACAGAATACCTTACACAATAAAGAGAGCTCCATTATGAGGAAATATAATAAAATGTTAGTGACACCCCCAATTTTTTCAATTTGTTAAACCTAGGTATAACAAAAGGATAAAAATTAAAGTGAAGTCAGTCACAAAAATCCAAAATACATACATTTTTAATGTACACATTTACAAACATATATATGTATATATCAATTTAAATTACAAAGTCATCTAATATATTTAAATAAACTCAACTCACGGAAATCTTACTTTAGAACAAAAATTTCAATTAATCTTAACTGCTAAGCAAAAATATGCTTACTTATATAAAGTATTCTAGAGAAAATATATTCATGTAACCGCTAACAATCATAGGATAAAATCAATAAACCTGTATGGCAATATCAAATGTCCATCCTCTGTAAAGTCTGTACTTCAAGAAATGTTCATTATGTAAATAATTTTAACTACTAGTCCTTATTTTCAAATTGTAGTAAAAAATTAATTTATAATAAATATTAAGAGGAATCAGGAAAGAATACTTAAGAAACAACTGCTCACTAGCTGCTCTAGTGATTCCTTGAATGATCTGGGTAATACTTATTTCAGTTTTCTCCATTGTAAAGTGGCATTTTCAAGTAACCATTTACATCACAGGTATTTTTCATATTAATAAAACAATGCCTGTGAAATGCTTCAAAGTCTCAGATGAAAAACCTTAGCTAAGTATAAAAGCATTATTACTGGAGGTAAGCCTTTGATACATGTAAGAATACAATTCTAAGAGAAACATTTATTAACTCCAGTAAATTTTTAACCAGGTAACGGTGGGAGGCAAAAACATAAAAAGCAACCTTCTTCCCTAGGAAGAGTAGTCTGTTTGCTTAAAATACGAAGTCCCAAACTAAATTTTTATTGCAACTCCAACACAGTGATTAACATACTAAAAAAAAAAAAAAAGAAGCATGGTTATAATAGATTGGAGAAAAGATACACAAATAACAACTTAAACAAGTGAAACAAATTTCAGCAAAATCTGAGTCCATCAGCTTCCCATACCCTAACCCTCCATTTGTGGCTCACTCTGAATCCCACCTTCGTGCCCTTCCAGATGCATTTCAAAGATAATGGTATTATGATCCAAACATAAAAAATTAATAGTACTGAAAAATGTTAACCAAATTATTTGTGATATCCCTTCTTTCTTCTATGAAAATGCTATTCTGAAAGAGATTTTGTTCTCAGACATTTCTAAAATAAGCCAACTCGTACCTAGAAATCAATCACTCAACAGTTATTGTTTCTTGGAGTTCTACAATGTGCTGAACGTTCAAGTATATGTGAGAGCAACATTTTTATCATGGATTAAATTTTCACATAATAATGCAAAATAAATGCAAACACTGTGGCTCCGATGTGAACTGGGGTTGTCTTCTGCATTCTCTCTGCCTCCTATTATATTAAATACACTCATTTAATATGCTTAACAGGCTTTATTTATTTACATTTCTTACTTTTACTTATACTCATTTAATATGCTTAACAGGCTTTATTTATTTACATTTCTTACTTTTACATAGTAAGTTCAAGGAACACAGCATTCATGAAGTCAAAACAAAATCAGCAATGTAAGCTGGCAAATGTTTGTATGAGACTGATTCTCCAATAAAGTTACAACACATTTAGAATAATTTCACTGTAGCTATTAAAGAAAGAATATAGGATTTAGGAACTTAAATAATCACTAAGAATTTGTATCCCAAAGGATCCTGAAGAGCCAAATAGCATGACTAAATAAAAACTCAAAGAGAACACTGCCACCTACTGAAACACTAGTACTTTCAGTATAATTACTGGAGAAATGCAGGCTTTTAAACCTAAGAAATGCATTCATTCCAGTAAGTAAGTTTGAAATGTGGACTAAAGTTATAATGCAATAATTAACATAATTAGCAAACATCTGAAGTAAAAACCGCAGGGAACACAAATTGGAAAATCATAGAATTCATCAATATCAGTGAAGAGACATACCTAATAAGAAGACAACACAGCAGAAGTTCTGTGATCACTAGCCATGAAGTCTTTCCTATGCCTGGCTGAATAATGATTAATGTAGGACACATTTCAAAAGTGTAAAGCAGGTTTCCATGATCCAAAAATAAGAGAATGGATAAAACTATTCTACTGTCAATTTCATGAAAAGAGATAATGCACACGTATATTCAAAGAAGAATGCTGAAGACATTTTGTAATCATGCTAGAAATATAAAAATTTTTCAGTATTCAATTATTCAATAATAATTTTGTAGTACTCAAAAACTATCAATTTTTTAACTGGCAGGCTCTGGATTTTAAATCAAGAAAATCTAAAGTATTACATAGATTATTTGAATATCTAAACATATGAATTTATCTATCACAGAAAAATTATGTAAGTGGCAACAATTTATTTATACCTTATAATTTCATGAAATTAAAAAATTAAACTAAATGCAAATTAAAAAACTGAAGTGTATTAAAAGTTAGCTTACCAAGTACAAGAAATATCCACCAAAGCCAATACTGTCCATTGAAATATCCAGTAAAATAATCAGAAAACTGTGGAGTGAACACAAATACATTAGCAATGCTCGCATAGCTAAATTGAAAATTGTGAATTAGTCTGCCTCATGATACCTCAAGTAATGGTAAGCACTTGAAAACATTATAAAAATGAGGAAATACAGCAGGACATGTATATTTGAGGGAGAGAATGCATATAATAGCAAATTCATGCAAAAATATTTATCAGAAACAAGTTCAAACTGCTTGTAAGAATGATAGATACATGCTATGTAATCTGAATCCATTAAAGAGTTCACGTCAGTTCTTTCTTCATAATCTCTCAAAGCCACAACTACTGTCCCAAGCACACTACAGCAACCTGCTGCTTTAGATATTAACACCAAAAGCCACATTAGTTTAATCTTATCAGATGGGGATGTTCTACTGACCTCTAAAAAGAAAAGCTTTTGACCTTCTGTACACCCCCTACTGTTAATCACTGCCAAGAATACTAGGCACATAAAGACCCCCAACTCATTAGAGTCTTTTTATTTTCAAACTAGATGCTCCAGCATTCAGTTCCCAACCGTGAGTTGAAAACAGCTAAATGAACCTTGAAGTGGCATTTCAACAGTTCCTATTAGTGGCCATAGTAGACAGTTTTATATTCTCTGTGAAATGAGAATATGAACAAACAGATGGAAGGCGGAGCTCAATGATAGTGGACACAGGTATATTTCCATGTGAGACTCCAGACATCAATGATTTGCCATTTAAAAGTTTAAAGAATCAGTCTAATTGTCTACAGAGTTATTTCAGATAATTCTGCCCTTTTACCCATTAGCAACTAGACAATGCCATAAATAAATACTTACGCAAAAAATACAAAAAATAGACTTGTTTTATCTATTCTGTTCCCATTGGACAACTGAATCTGATTCAGCTAAAATTGATTTTTCATAAGTACAAATTTGCCTTCAAATTTGAAATCATTTAAAATTATCTCCAGCTTCATAGGTAATTATTTCCAACTATTACTGGAAAATTTCCATAAAGTTTAAAAACATATAGCTTTAGAACTTATAAAGCTTATAGCTCTAAAGATAGCAAAAATGCTTAGAAATTGTAAATTATGTCACTGTTGAGGAAACATATCTATTAAAGGTTATCTAAGTCTGTTTGTAAAAACCATTTAAGTATTTTCACAGGATGTCTTGCAATTAATAAATGAGCGATGATGTAAATTTTCTGCTTAGCATTTTGGAAATTTTTAAGCACCATTAAAGATGCAAATCCAGCAGACTCTGGGAACTTTAAAATACATATACAACAAGGGAAAAACTAAAATATTGGAAAAATATAGCTTGTAAAGTAGGACTGCACTACACTAAATTTTATTCTAGTGATTAAAAATGGAAATAAAAAATTTTCATAGAAACTTTAGATGCTATAGAACAAAATTTTCTAATTTTTAAATAATCTAATGTATAACATTACCTACTAACAGACAGAAAATTAAGCTAAATAATGAACTACCTTCACCTTGAAGTCAAAGACTATGTAAACTAATAAATTAATAAGATTTTTAAATTCCTTACTAAGTCATCAAAAGTGTTTAAAAATACTAACACCATAAGGTTGAGCCAAGTTGATAAACTGTTTTTTTTAAATAAGTAAGTCAATCAAGTTGATGGGCTAATCAGAGGCTGCTGAAAAGAAATTTGGGGTGGGGGGGAATCAACAATGAGAATGTATCTGATTTTATTTTATTAACTTAACATCAATATTTATTGCTTATATCCTATTTTCAAAAAGACTTGCTAGTTTTATTAAATAATTTTAAGGAAACAATAAAAACATCAAAAAGCCTTAGACTGAAAAAATATCAGGATCTTGAGCTAAAGATAATTATGTTAAATCTGAGATGCGTGGCAGTTTAGAAACAAAAAAGTAAAGCAGCAGTGTAATTTATAAATTATCGTAATAAAAGGAAAACACCAGGTTTGGGGAGAAAACCTTTCTCTCAAAACTAAATTGCAAAGAGAATTTATTGTTTGCAGCATCATAATAAAAGTCAAAGTATAGTGTCATAGAAGCAAAACATAATTAAGAAAACAGGCACTGAATTCAAACCAGGCAAGGCTCTAATCCCTACAGAAACTACAGAATATTGAGGAAGTTATCAGGCTTTTTTTATTCTTAGTTTCATCATCAACAAAGTGACTAGATGTCACTAGCATTACTGATTCAGATAGGGGTAAAGAATTTCATGTATGCAATGAACTATGCCTGGAACATATTTAGTGCACAATAAATGGCAGCTGTGTTATTTTATACAAAAGTTCTTTTTAAATTCTTATGTCAATTCTCAGTATACACAAAAGGTACAATCATAACTTTAACTCAGTCAAGGTATTCTAAAGATAAACTAAACACTTTTGATGATCAAACTTGATAGAGAGTACATATCTTACAAAACTTTGAAAAGCTTCAGTTTTGAATTTATATACCCCACCCCTATCACAATATGTGAAGGTAATTACTAGGTAATTTCTCCCCTTCTCAACTAGGGGTTTATGAAAAAATGAGCATCTAGAATGATAAATTTACATATTTAGAAGAACTGAAAAAATATATTCAAATTATTTTCTGTAACATAAATGAGAAATGTCATCTGAATTAATTCTATTACTAACAACCAAAGTTCGACATGACTACGTCTCACTCTTGAACTTTTTCTAGTAAAAACTTTTTCAACAGTAGTATGCTTTATAACATCTCACTGATTTATTATAGTCATGGTGGGAACCCACTTTACTTTTTTTTTTTTTAAGATTTATTTATTTGTACATACAGAACTGGGGTACAGGCCAGAGGCTCAGGAGTGGCGAGAGGCTTCACCAGAAACAGAGTGAGAAACAGAACAGGCCGACTGATGAAGTACACTGCTGAGGGGAGCAGCGGGCAGGTCAGGAGAGGTCTGCCACGCCATGTGGTCACCTCCGGGGCAGGCAGGGATTGAACTCATGCGGAAGTGGCTTTAACTTCTCAGTGCAGTGCTTTAACCCTCTGCGCCACCAGGAAGGGCCACCACTTTACATTTTTTGAAATAAAATTAGAACAAGAATCTGCCAGGGAGCAAGTTTTACAATGACTCAGGATTTAATCAGGTCCCAACCAAGAATCAAGTTATTAATAACTAAAACCTGCAATCTGATCTGATAGGATTAGTGAAAACCTGGAGAGATTAAAAAAAAAATTTTAAATAATGGACTCATGAAGTCCATAGTTTTTATATGGGTAATTTTTAAATCAAATTGATAAGGCAGGTACATAACTGAAGTTTATAAAGAATTAGGAGAAGCTGACATATCAGACCTATCATTCAACTGAAATTTTGAGGATCTACGTCATTCAATTAGAAGTCAATGTTCAAATAAATGTTATTTGAAGAAATAATGTTTAATACAATATTATTAACTATATAACAGCATTTAAATGTGGGAGTAGCTTTTAGACTTATCAAAACAATAAACAGCCTTACTTGATCATTCTCCTAGGCCTTATTTTGAAAAAATGTTTTATGAAAAAGGAAGCAACAGGGGTCTTTATGAGGAAAAAATAAAGAGCTGACGGAAGATCATACAAACAATACTACTGCCTGTGTGACCTTTACAGAAAACTATTTTGGGACTAGAAATTGTTGAGATGGGATAACAAAAAGACTTATTGTTTTCCTATACACCATCATATAAATGATAAAATATAGCTAGATAAAACATAATTTCCTAGAATAGGAAATAAGGGAAAATCTTAAACGAAACATAAAGGGAAAAAAGAAAGTTCTAAGTCACTTCAAAGACCTATACTTTACTCCTGAACTCTTAATGCTACTAAAAAAATGGAAATGAGGAGTTAAGTCAACTAATTAGTAGATTTTACACTTCAAATGATTTAAGGAATGTCTGTATCATACAATAACTAATAACCATGATTTACTGAATACATATGTATGTTACACAAAAACTAGGCAAAATGCTTTTATTATTTCCATAACTCACAAAAATTCTTTTTAAAAAACCTATGATAAGCCTATTATTATAAAGAAACCAAAACTTAAAACAATTCTAAAATTTCAAGTTAAAACATAGATATAAAGAAGTTGAGATTCAAACTTAAGTTTTTCTAATTTCAAGTCTTTTCCTGTGTACTAAAACAAGCTGTCATATAAAATTTTAGCATGTTCGCACTGAAGTCACTATAATAATAGGAAGAGCAAGTCTCAAAATAATAGAATTCACATACCCCCAAAAGGAACATTTATAAACTACCTAAGAAATTTTAATTTTAGAGATAAAAGTGGATATGAAGATACTCACCCTGACAATAAGGATCCATTTGATCAACGAAAGACCAAATCCACAGATAGCACCATACCTTCCAGCTATGGTATTGGTGATACAGAAGGATAAGCAAAATCCAAGCCAGTTGAAAATAAATGCCACTAAAAGAGAAAGTTTGTTTAAAGATCACATCTTGGAAACAAATTAAGAGACAATATTAATAGAAAAAGCAGTCTCAATAGAAAAAACAAGTCTCTCAATACCAAGTAAGCCTTTTTAAAAAATAACTTTTGTAAATGTATTCACTATTTGCCTATACATTAAAAACTGGGTAAGTTTGGTCTCTTGTCACTTTGGTCAACGAATGAAATAATTTGTAAATATGGTTCCCAGAGCAAACATCATCTCTTCTTCATACCTAACAAAATTTGCTTTGTATACTCCCTGATAACCGACCTACCTCTACAGTCTGTGTTTGAGGGAAGGCTCCACCCTCCCTTACTCCACAGATGTTAGGTCCTGAGTAGTTTGGGCAGGAAAGGGGTATCAAGGAGAGGGGAATTAAAGTGGGTCTACAATCCTTGCCAATCACTCTTTTTAACAGGACTTGTAAAACACATTGGTTCTTATAAACACAGCAAGAGAAGGGAAGGTGGAATATACAGGTTAAATAGCAGTGACTCTAAATCACTACTGAAGCTGGGTGATGGACATTTATCAAACTATTGCCCAAATTTATATATACCTGAAGATTTCTACAATAAAAATCTGTTTTTAAAAAAGAAAAGAAACGGTCCTTGCTCTGCTCTTTAATGACATGTTTGGACATAGTATCTGGAATTCCCTCTGGGATCATGCTATCAACCTGAGATTAAATATCACTCCAAAATATGGAGAGTGTGAGGAAAAGCAAAGAACGCCAGTCACAACACTGGTGTGCTCTATCCCTGAGATAAGCTTATCCATGAATTTTGTTTTTGACATAATTTCCCATTTGAAAAAAAGAGCTGAAGAGTGTCCAATTTCTTGCAGTCAAAACCACTGACACAAGTTCTTGAGATGTAATGAGAGTGTCCAGTTTGTGTCTAAGAGATCTGTATCGTCAAAATAAAAATAGCCATCCTATCAAAAGTTGTAAAGACCAAGTTGAGCCTCTTCAACCAACCCTCAGGGAAAACAAAGCAAATTATCTAAAAATCTGATTCCACAGAGCTCAAGGAAAAAGCTAACACTTTAGGATAAGTTTAACTGAAATAGCTATTTCTTTGAAGGAGTTCTCTCTCTCAAGTAATTTCTTCCTTTCTAAAGTCCTCTACTCTCAGCTGTCTTGAACAGCTGGGGAAGGTGGAATACAGTGCAGCAGTGAAGAGTGAGTTTTGAAACAGAGAAAGGGTTTGAATCGTGTGCCCCACTCACTCAAGGTGGCCTGGACTCACTACTGATTTCTGTGAACCACAGTTCTCTGACCTATAAGGGCACCTATTTCATAAGGTTGATAAAATATTAAGTGACATCATGAATGTAAAACCTTAGTGCAAAATCTACCTTAGTGCAAAACCTAGCACCAGGTGATGGCTACATAAATATTAGATATCATTACTACTAATGAGCTCTCACTTTACAAGTAAGTTCTATCTTTTCTGTGAAACAATTCCAGGAAACACTCCTGGAAATAAAGCTTGTTTACTCTCTGCTTTCTTTAATTTCAAGCCAAAATACTGTTCAGTACTTTAATATCCTTTCTACCTGTGCTACCCAATGCCACTAATAACACTTTTTTCCTCCTGCCCAAGTAACTCATTCTGATCTACAAGGTAGTTATTCACATTTAAGTTTTTTTAACTATATAAAATTTAAAAATTCCTCAGTCACACCACATTTCAAATGCTCAACAGCCAGCCACATGTGATCTGTAGCTACTATACTGGACACCCCCCGAAAATAGAACATTCTATTAATGGAAACAGCTGCACTATATTCAACTGACAATGTGTGTTAGCCTGTAGGGGAAAATATATCACTTAACCAACCAAAATATAATTCGGTATCTACTTAAAATAAAGAATTTGCAACAACAAATGTTGTAGAAATTCCCACCTGGTGTGTTATACTGTGTAATTACAGACTGTTGTTAATAACAGTTCTCACCTCTCAGCCTGTAGGGCAGGCAGGGGAAGCCTGGGACAGAGAGCTGACTCCCGCCAGCCAACAGCACCTTTACTCCAGTATGCTATAAATATTCTATTATTTTCTAAGCATGTCATGTTGTTAAAACATAGAAAGCATTGATGGTGAAAGCTGAAAACAGCAAAATACTTAAAAAGTATCTACCTTTGATGTGGGTATGCTTCTCATTTTGGAGGGAAAAAAAATTAAGTACAGTTCCTTCAAAATCAGACTTACTACTATTAGAAATCTCATTGCATGCATTCCAAGAACAAAATACAAAAGAGAAAAATCTTTTCTAAGCCATCATATTCTATTTTCGCTCTCTGCCACCAGTATGTTTATCTTTAACCTGTGTTAATGTAATACAGTCTGTAATAAACTAAACTGTGATCCTCAACTACCAAGCTGAAATCAGAACGTTCCAGTATTTAGAGATCGGCCTTTTAGGGAGGTAATCATGATTATGTGAGGTCACATGGGTAGAGTCCTAACCTGAGAGAATTGTTATGTTATGAAGGACGAGTAAGGAACTCAATGAACTCTCTTTCTACACACACAGAGAGGAAAGACCACGTTATGACATACCAAAATAACAGTCATTTGTAAGGAAGAAAGAGAATTCTCACCAGAAATCAACTTTTCCAGTACCCTCATTTTGGATTTCTAATCTACAGAATTGTAAGAAAATTAATTTCCAACTAAAATACTTCTGTAAGCATTCCCTCTTAAAATTCTGGAAGACTTTGAGAAATGTAGATATTAGTTTGTCTTTGCAGATTTGGTAGAACTCACTAGAGCAAAACAATCTGGCCCTAGGCTTTTTGTTTTGGGGAGACTGAATTGCTGTTTCAATTTCCTTGCTTTTCATTTTCTATTTCATTTATTTTTGCTCTGAATTTTATTATTTCTTTCCTTCTGTTAGCTTCTGGTTTTATTTGTTCTTCTTTTTCTATTCCCTATATGGCAAGGCCCAAGATGGAACCTAAAGAATCAACAGACTTATACAGTCTATAGTCCTCAAAGTGAGTTTTTAGGGAGCAAGCAGCAAAGAAGTGGGGCAATTAACCCAGAAAAGTCAGTAAAGAATGCTAAGTGTTGTCCTGACTCTTCATGTCTAAATCATCTTTAGAGTGCCCGTCTTTGTAAAAAAGCTAATCAGGCCGGTTCAGACAGGTTAATGACATGAAAGAAGGTTGCCTATCCCTTAAAATATTATTATTTATTACTAAAAGTAACTGAATCTCCAGTTAAAGACAGGGAAAGAACACTCTATAATTAATATTTCATATATTTTAATTCATTTGATTCTCATACTAGTTTTTTAATGACAAGGTCAGAATCTATTCCATATTACAAAAGAACAAAATGAGATTTAGGAAGCTCCACATGAAGTTACAAGACAAGCAAATAAAAACCTAGGACTGGCGCGTTCAAGTGTCCAGTGATATACTTGTACATACTTTCCAAAGTATGTACAAAAAAAAAACCTAAAACCTAAAAAGGCAGTATTGTATGCTACAGTTTAGCCATTAAATTTACAAGATTATTATTAGAAAGGGAAAAATAGCAACTTTATAGTGAAGAAAACTGGCAAATACCACCTTAGCCTAATATTTGTATCACCAGTAATTAACATACACCCTGATCACTGCCTCCTGATATGATACTCTTAGAAGTGCACATCATTTCTGAGGTATTCTTGGAAAACAACAAACATAATTTGAATCTAGTTTTTTAAGGACACATTAGATAAAAGCTAACTTGAGAGACATTCTACAAAACAACTAGCTAATACTCTTCAAAAGAATCAAAGTTATAAGAAATAAAGTAAATAAAGTTAGGAAACGAAAGTATTCCAGATCAAAGCAGATTTAGGAAACACAGCAAAAAAAAAAAAAAAAAAACAATGCTTAATCCTAAGTGATATTCTGAACAAGAAAAAGGTCATTAGTGGACAAAAAGGTTGCTGACTGGCAAAATTTAAATAATGTCTATCCCCACTAGTCAGTAGTACTTCATTATTGTCATTTTTCTAATACTGATCACTGGGCTGAAGTTACATAAAATGTTAACACTTGGAAAAAGTGCTTGAAAGTTAGCTAGAAATTGTCAAATTTTTGCAACTTTACTGTAAGTATGAAAACTACTCCAAAATAAAGATTAAGAAATTATAAACTTTTAAAAATTTCATACTTGCTTTGAAAATGAAAACTATGAAAATATATATATATATAAAATTCTAAAACTAATAAGTACTTATTAATTTTTTTGACATGGAAAAAATCCATATTAAGTTCCTAGACAAAAAATAATCAACTTTAGTATTCTTAATTCAAAATTGCACAAGGTAAATTTCTGTATTACATTTGGGCATTCTTTGTTTAGACTATTAGTTACTAGTAAAATCATTAAGCTAACCACTTATTAGCCTGAAGAGATTCCCCCCAATTATAAGCAACAAGGTGACAAAAAAAATCCCTTTGCTTGTAAGCAAAACAACTGAATAAAACATACTACTCACAAATTATTTACAAATACTGTATGAATTTCTTAAGTTATACTTAAACAATTTTTAGATACTCTCCTTTTGGTTCACCTATGTCACCCCAAAAACTGTATGAAAGCACATTTCACATAGACAAAACAACTCTTCAATGTATTGTTTATCAATGTGTGGTACGCAAACAGATCAATTGTTCTATATAGCTTTTATGACTGGTCCATAGAAAGAACTTGCTGAATAATGTTCAACATCATTACACTAGAAAATGCATAGTAAAGCTATGAAAAATACCACCAATCTCAATATCAAATGCTACTGAAGATGCAGAGGGACAGGAAATCTCATTCACTGCTAATGAGAATGCAAAATGGTACAGCCACTCTGGAAGACAGTCTGCCATTTTCTTATAAATTGGAATTCATGTTTCAAAACTCTTCCAATTCCTTTTTAAAGTCAAAAATAACTTAATTTTTCTTTAATTATGATTCAAGAATAAGATTGAATAATTAAAGTGATTAATTACTGCTATAACACACTGATATAATGATTCATACATGATATAAAAGCTAATAAACCTTGAGGGAAAAATTTTCTAAACAGAGCCCATTACATGTTTAAGTACTAGAGTTCAAGATAATTTCCACAGACTGGCAACTCTCCAATGAACCAAATCTTAACTTCTAGGATTCAACTTACAAATAACTTATTTCTTTTCTAGTCCCTTAAATTTTTTTTAAAAAAAAGATGAAATAAAAACAAGGTTAAGCATGCATGAGGTATTTCGTGATGATACTTAAAAGGGATTCTAAGAAATAGAAACACTAGCAATGATTATATACTTTCTTTACATTTCTTTACATTTTCTTTACATTTTCTGAACAAGGACAAGAAATTATCTAACCAAATTTGTGAGTAAACTTTTTTAGAATTACATGTGGTAAAGACTAAAATGCAAACACTGAAAACAGAGAAGGCAAGAATTAAAGCAAAAGTTTTAATTAAAATAATCCTACTGATATTGTGGTTTATTATGGTTTTATTTGTACAGTGTATACAACCTAAAGTGCTTAAGTTATAAAATGCATTAAATAAAATCTACGTAGGCATCTTAAAAATTGACAATAGATAGAACCTAGATAATGAGTTGTTTCACTAAGCATGGAAAATGGAGCAAATTGCAATTTGCAGGATAACCACTAGGTGGTAGTAATTACAAATAAATCTATGCTTCTCCAACAAATAAGCTCCAGCCCACCAAAAAAAAAATCAATAAATGAAAGTAAAAAATAATCTATAACTTTACTCTTATAATATTAGTTTAATATTTCTGGAATATGAAGCAGTAAAATACAAGTTATAGAAATGTAAAAGATAATTTATATTAAATATACTGAAATATAAACATTTATAATACCAACATTGCAAAAAAAAGAATCAAGTTTTTAGGTCACCATGCATTTACAACACTGCTCATCGGTGAAATATTTTCAAATCTAAATAGTAAAAATTAAAAAGAAGATAGTAGGGTTAAGTAAAATATGGTAATAGAAAAAAATAACAGTCACTAGGTGATATTAAATAATATTTACTTATAACAAGGATTTAAATTAAAAACACCACCATAAACTGAAACTATTTTCAAATATGTTTTCTCAAAAGACAAAAATATGAAAATTAATGTTTGCACTAATTTTGTAAACAATATGGGAAATTTGTTATCTACATAAAGGGTTACCAGTTGAACTATAACACAAATTAAAAAGCAAGGCTCCTTTTCCAACTTTCCTCTTTAGTTCAAAGGCACTAAATTAAGTCCTCTATCTGCAAAGCAGAATTTATAGATTTATTCAACATGTACCTACAGCACTAAATAGACTTGCAGCATTCTCATAATAAATTTAGCTTTTTATATCTGTACAGTCAGACTGTATAATGACTTTAATAGGTAGTTACCAGGCAAGTGTTTTAATAAATTCTAGGATTTGTAATATAACACATGATCACACAGTTCAAAATCAGGAACAACTTCATTTTAAACAAGATAGATAGAAGCTAACATTATCTGCTTTCTCCACAAAATTACATTAAACATATATACAAACAGTAAGTTCAAAAAAAAAAAAGTTTAGAGCAGAATTAAGACTTACTGAAAAATGCCAGCATGAAAATCCCATCATTACCCACTCTGAGCTGGTCTGCATCACTGAAGTCATCTCTTGGTGGACATTCTTCCTCCTGAATCTATAAAAATTAACATTAAATATAGCTAAGTATACATCACTAAAATAATTAAAACTCTATTACCCTAAATGTAAAGACAAGATTTAAATAAAATCTACTGTCTTCAGTTTGTGATATAGACAAAATGAGATAATTAACTACAATGTCTGGTGCACAGTAAATACCAGCAGTAGTAACTCATAAACACAGAAACATAAAAGTTGAATAAATAACACCACCCTAATGAAATGCTATCAATAAAGATAAATGTGACATGGCTGTATAATGTGAAATAGGAACTTGCATACTCAGTGGTGAAATATAAATTAGTATGCTTGCTATGGTTGGCAATGTAGCAATAACTGTCAACGATAAAAATGTTTACACCCTGTGACCCAGCAATTGCAGCTTTTCAAAATATATTGTAAGGATATGCAAATATTTTCTCCACTTAGAAGAAATGATATATTCCAGATAACTCATTTGCAGCAATGTTAGTAAGAACAAAATATTAAATATAATTAAATACCCATCAGAAGTAGACTACTGTGAGTAGTCTACAAGTCAATGTCTATCTTCCCAGGAAGAGACACTGGCTGCTTTATTATACTATCTTTTGAAGAATGTTTATATCACAGATGACTTTTAAGAAGGAAATAATGCATCTCCAGAGCAGAAGTGTGGATACACTTATTCATCATTGGAAAATTCTGGGTTTCTGAAAGTTGGGTTTCCAAGCTCCACATGATGGCATGGTTGGCCTGCTGTGACTTGACCTTTGGGGCATAGGCTTGGGAAGTGAGAGAAGAAAATGCTTCTGCTTTAGGCTAGCACCATTGCTGTGAATAGTAAAAACTGTATCTCTGATTTAACTCTTTTATCATCTGTCATCATCCAAGAAACTGTGACATATGTATCAGTTGTTAGTTTACAAGTAGGATAAATCTCAGATGTTCACAATTCTTGACGTAGAAATAAAGTGTAAATTATATAACCTATCTAATGAAATTCAGAAAGCAATGTAAAAATTTTAAAACCTAAAAGAACAAATTTTGACTATTCTCATGACAATCTCCAGATACATTAGGTAAAAAGCATTTGTACAATATAATACTTTTTGTGTATTAAATTTTACATTAGCACATTAATGAATCTGCATATAAATACAGAGCATTCTCTGAAAAGTACATTAAAAACTCCAATGTTCAACGAATATTGGAAAAATACATATATTATACAAAGCTTTCCTTTGCTGGTACTTGGGATACATGAGAGTACATAAAACCAAGATGCTTGCTTCTCTGGGGCCTATTTCTAGTATAGGGAGCCTGAGAGTCATCAAAGACATAATAAATCATTTACCTATTTAACCGTTAACCGTGCTCTACAAAGAAATTATAAGGAATAGGATGTTGAGAAATGCTGTGAAATTCACATATAGTTTCAAATATGATGGCCAAACATGCCTCACTGACGTAACACTTGAGCAAAGACTTAAAAGGAGGTAGGAAGAGTCAGCTATACATGTATCTCAGAAATGTTACAGGTAGAAGAATGTCAGCACCAAGGTCTTACGATAGAAAAACATGTGGAATATTAGAGAAAGAGCAATGAGGGTGTCAGAGTTGAAAAGCGTGAACAAGAGAGAAAATAGAAAGAAATGATGTCAAAGATTCAAATGAAAGATTTCAGGTTTTAATGACAAATTGGTAGATCTTTCAAGGTGGTAATCAGTTAAGTAACAGACCTGATACATAATCTCAGTCTTCTACTCATGTCTCAATTTTGTTAGTATACACAGAGGCTCAGAGAAGCTAACCTGATGCCAGAAGGCCATCTGGTTGGTTTCCTTGGACACAGTTTGTGGAAAAAAAGTTTAATTTGGTGACAAACTGAGGAAGGCAGCAGACTAGTCTCTGAAAGACCACCGGGCTGCTCTCTGACAGAGGGCAGAGGTATGGATTTAGTCCCCAGGGAGTGGAAAGGAGGCAGGTAAAGGATCAGCAAGTCCATCCTAGGATATACGCGTCTGTCTGGTGCTTGTCTGAGGCCAGCGCCATCACCTGGTGGTCGGCCAGTCTGCTGTTATCTTTGTGGGGAAGCTCTTTCCCCTTGGAATGTGAAAGAGCAGGGTTTCTCAAGCCTAGAGGGAAGCTAAAGGAAATGAGAGATCTTATCTGATAGGACAGAGAGAGAGAAAGACATACTTTATTGCCACATCAAAGCATCCTGCTCAAGATCACATAATTAGCAGAGTTAAAGCAAAACTTTGGATATAGGACACGGATGTTCTTCCAATGCCCTCATAAAGTTTCACTATGTACGTTCCTGTCCACAAAGACAAAAGATCTTCAAATCCCTTATTTTCATTATTTGGGCAAAATGACTCCTCAATATAGTCACGTATCCTAGGCAGCTTTCCTATGGTAAATTTAATGACTGCCAATGGTCAAATACATATTAATAAAATTGTATATGCACAGTATGAGCCCAAACAAACAAAATCCAGCCTCAGCATGTTACACAGAATATAAATCTTTTATAATCTTTTGAAACATAAGCATGGATATTTTATCATAGAAGATAAAAAAATGCATAAAGCATTTTGCAAATTACCATCAGAAACACGTACACATATTTGAAAATAATATAATTGTTCACTGGTGAGAAAGGACTACTCAATTACAATGTACTGATTCCATGGAACTTTAATCCATCATTAAAATATCTCTATAAGTATTTAAAATAAAAGCCAGCAGAGGCACTGGCTGCTTTGGAAGGATAGAGCCACCCCACTAAACACTGCTTTATAAATCATAAAACTGGTAAAAGACACAAAAATACTCAAGCTATGCTATAATTGAACTGTGGTGTTTTCTTCCTAACTTCTCAACTGTAAAGAAAGCACACTTTTTTTTTAATTGAACACCAACTATGTGCCAGGTATTAGAAACGTAAATACAAAGATCCTGTCCTGGAGCTGCTCACAGTTAGTTACATAGTCTTTATGTCAAAAGACAAGCTACTGAAACAATTTAAGACAAGTTACCCTAAAGCAAACACTACACTACAGTTATGATACTAACTGGTGAACAGTAAAATTTTGTTACACTGAATTACTGAAATTCAAATATTTTCATACAAATATTAAAAAATGAATAGTTCATTTGCATAAATCCTTTAATTGCTCCAGAAAGCAACCCTACACGTGAGCAACAGAAATAGTAGAAGAGTCTTGTTTCCTAGTCTCCTGGCTACCAGCGCTCTCCCAGGGAGAGTGAGCTCCCAGCTCAGCCAGTAAGACTCATTTACAACTGAATGCAAGCAAACGCTAGTCAAATGCTGCCTTTTTATTTTTTTAATCTGAATCAGGTGTAAAAATTCACACTCAAATAGGCTGTTGGAACACTAAATTCATACAAAAATAGGATGTTGGAGCACCAAATTAGAAAGCATGGTGAATTTATAGGATTTTTCTTTTAAAAAGACCTAAGTTCTTTGACACAGTTATATTTTGCTTTCTATGAAACTTCCTCACAAGTCAGTTACAATGTCAGAAGTAAGTGAAGACAGAAAACTTTCCTTTATGGACATGTCCCAGCTCAGGCTGGGGATCACGTTACCTTCTACATGAAGGGCTGGGAAAGACAGGGAAGGGTTCTAACGTCCTCTTCAGAGCTTTCTCTTGAAAAGGTAAAATCACTGCATGCCTTTCTCAGAGCACAGAAAGCAAGAACTAAAGCTTCCTACTTTCTCCGTAAGAGTTCTCTGTCACTGCACGGCAATTAGGAGTAGAGGACTTGAGGTCCCTAATGACCTTTAGGCAGCCCCCGCCAATCTAAGGCCTCTAGGAGATACAGGGTAAGAGGAGTCCCTCAGCTTCACTGTACTGCGTGCACACAAATGTCAGGTGTACAGGGTGACAAAATAAGCAGCCTAGGGTTCAGTTTGATGGAAACTCCACACTTCATTATCTACTTTCCTTCTCCACAATGCTGTTCTCCCAGCATCAAAAATCCTGTATTGGTGCCACCCCTTAATAGACTTGCTTTCTCTCCTCTCCCTGAGGGGAAAGCACAAATAACAGTTTGGGTTTTACTGACTTCACTGAAATGCCCAACTCTATTTGCTGATGTGTATTTGTAACTCTGTGTGCTGAGGTATGGAAGCAGAAGTAGATATGGAAAAGGCTGCAGCAGATGACAGAAACCCATCCAGGAAAGGGGCTCACCTATCTGTTTGCTGGGCTCTGGTACCCAAAGGAGCGTGCTACACAGAAACACCTTGCTCTCCCCCTCTATTGCTCACCTGACTTTAGCTTTGTGTAAAATGTTTTTGAGCACTTTTTTCCTGAACAAAATAGGATGAATCCAGGGCTCTAAAGTGACATTTCTAAAGTTTTAAGCAAGGGGTGGGGGTGGGGGGAGACAATGAATTCTAATCCTACTGTAACAGTCACACTAAAATGTAAATCACTTTCATACTTATCTGTCTGTAAAATAGCATACATGTATCCACTGAATCTCTATTACTTCGAGAGTCACTCCTTTACTAGAAAAATAAAGGACACACATATATTACTATCTCTGTTAGTAAGTCAGGAAGATACACGAGAAAGCAGGTGAGATCCTCAACCATCATTCCAAAATGCGAGGGGATGTGTTAAAAGGGCAAAAAGTGATCTGACAAGCATAATCTGTGCTACTTATTCTTCCTTGAATTCACTCATCACATCACTAGACTGGTCATGCTAATATGTAAGACACCAATAAAAGTGATTGATGATAACAGCTACGGACCACAGAACTAAACCTTAATAAAAGGAGGGTGGTCAGAACATCAACAGTGAAGTTACTGGAGTGCAGGTAACTACAGTGAGTGAGTCATAAGGCAGAGGGTGAAGAGCAGACTTCGACATACCTAAAATCAAAATATAACAAGTAATAAAGTTCTGTTCAAGATAACCTAGAATAACCACAAATGTAGATGGCTTGGGAAAGATCTACAGAAGTATGAACAGAAGGGAAACGTCAAGGAATGGAGAGGTGAATTAACTGTGAAATCCAATTTCAACACACAATGATATACATTAGTAGTAATTTTTTTAATCTATATGTGCACCTCAACACAGACTCATTTTTGATACCTCTAGATGACATGTCAATAACCATCTCCGAAGGAAATAATAATGCTGCTTACTCTTTGAGATGTTTCTGCTGCTGCAGCTGCCATTGCAGCAGCTTTAGCCTTCTCAGCTTCGTCATATGTAGGAAGAGAGGTAGCAACACTGTAGGGAGGTGGCACAGGATAAAACTCATTGTAAACTTCTGTATCTGAAGAAAAACAAAGAGGAATAACCATCAAAACAATTTACAAGTCTGTATTACTGTTTATAGTAGTCCTATGTTATAAACTACATTAACACCTAAATCACTATTATAATGCATATTAACTTAGACCTATATTTATTATAAAGAGAAAAAACTGATAAATATCATCTAAAGGCTAAAACATAAAACAGTAACATGAAGAATGAGTCTCACGCTCACAATATTAGCATGCTCTCTGTGCCTACTGCAATGTTCAAATAATTTACTTGTCTATCATCTCACCATCAAAAAAGGCCTACCAGGAATAAAAGAAAACCTTTACATAGTAATGATCATTTAATATCCACTTCTCTATACATTGACCTTAGCAATTCTGAGATTCAGAGAAGTAAAGCGACCTCAAAATCTAACAACCAATACGTAGCAGAACCCAGGAATTTCCTGACTCCATTTACTTTGCACTGATAACACATAACAAGGTTATGTTATCCCCAATACTCTTTGTACTTCCTATACATGCCAATTTTAGCAACTGTCCTAATCTACACAAACTCACTATTTCTTTTTGCTAAAAGATTCATTTCCACTTGTTAATTTTACTTATTTTTCTTCTACTAAGTCTACAGTTTTCAGAGATTTAAAAGTCTGGGGAACTCCAGTCCCAGCTCCTCTTCTTAGAAGTTGTGTGACTACAAGCAAATCATTAGTCACTATGAAGTTCCACCTTCTCATTCACAAAATTGACCCAAAAAAGAATACTCCAGAAGATTCTTGAAACAAATTGTGAACATCACACAAATGTCCCCTACTACCGATATTTTCCAGACCTATAAATTTAGACATAAAGTGACCTACTGAAGAACAAAATCTCCAGGGAAAACTGGTGGTTTTTAAGCTCTCATGCTTAAAATATAACATCACTAATTAAGAAGCTGATGAAAAGGAGTATCAATTAGCTTAATTAAATATAGACCTACCGTTCTAGAATTACTGTTCATGTGCTCAGTTTCTGTCATTAATAACCTTTTAGTGAAGGTGTAAAAAATAATAAGGATCATTAATCTCAAAAGAATAACTGAACGTTCAGAAACCAGGTTTAGCTTCTTTTTCTCTTGAAATTTATCAAACCTTTAAAAATAACTTGCTACATTATCAAAACTATCCCAGATTATAAAAAATGAGAAGTTTCTCAATTCATTTTATGTTATTTCTATAATAATAACAAAGCCATAAAGTCAGTACATAAAAGTCTAGATTCCATTAATAAAGCTTTGCAAAACTCTAAATACTAACAAATCTGAAACCAGAAAAAATCAGAGTATGAAAACAGACTTACCCCAGAATGAAGAGATAGATTAATAATTTAAAGAAGAAACCTATTAATAACATGCCTTGTTACATCAAAAGCTAAAGGATTAAAACCACGTAACTTTAAGATTAGGGACCAAAGAGATGGCAGAAAGCTGGAAACATTCACTGAAATGATGAAGACGATTGTCAATGGTAGTGAACTGGTGGTAGGGGAGGAGGCAGATGCATTGGTTTTCAGCATAAGCCCATTCTACTACAGTCTGTTTTTTGAAATTCTTCCCATTAACAGGTAGAGACTAATGGGTAATTGTACTAAATAAGGAATAAACTTAGTGACTCGCTTTCATAACAAACAAAATATAGCAGATATGACACTGACTTTTGGGCAGTGAAATAAAAGGTGATATAGTTTCCATCTAGCTTCCAGAAAACTCATTCTTGGAACCCAGAGTTCATTAAGTCAGGAAGCCAGAGCCACATATGGCCACAGAGGCTGATAGCCCAAGGGAGACTGTAGCTGAAGCTTGCATCAACCACCACACATATGAATAAGGAAACCTTCAAGCAACTCCAGGACCAGCGACCTTAGACAACAATCACAGGAGAGGCCAGAAGAGATCATAATCAAGCCTAATCCATTCCTAAAACAGTAAGAATTAATAATAATAAATTACTGCTACTTTACTTCACTAAGTTTTGAGGGAGTTACACAACAAAATAACAGTGTAGTAACAAACAACTGCAGTTTTACCCAGCAGCTTTCAGCATTCAGACACAGATACCAGAAAAACAATTCATTTTCTTTTTCAATACTATCAAAATTTCTTTATTCTGAGATTCCAAATTCACTGCAATGGTATTCTGAAACTTATAAAGTAGAAAAATTTGTGCACGATAAATTTCAGCAAGCATAAATTCTGATGTTAAATCTTTTAGCCAAAGAAAAATAAGCCTTATCAACAGGTCAAAATATATAAGTTGTGCATCAAACTGGGTACTGAAAAAATATAGTGATCACATAAACTTTCTATACAAATAACAGCACCAAGTATTTACTAATTTAACACATTTATATAAAAGATGAACTTCAGTAATCACACAAATAGCAAAAAAATTGGTGGAAGAAAAAATGGGTCTTTTTACATATCCCCAGACAAAATTTGGATAGGCAAAAATGATAATTGGAGAAAGTTGAGTTTAAAAAAAGTAAATAACTTTAATTAAAGACTAAGAGATAAGGAAATTAAAAATTGTAATGAAAGATTTTTTACATTGGATTGTTTACATTTCAATAATTGGATTTTTTACATTTCAATAATTGATTTAAAAAATAAATGTTACACAAAGAGTTCATAAAATACTTAGCAGACTTTATGTTAGCATATAAAAATTATATTTAAAATTTTATAAAATGAGGAGTGATGTAAAATACACAAAATAAAATATAAAATTTTAAAATATATTAATAATGATTAACTTAGTATTAAATTGGAAAAAAAGAAATGGAACTGCGAGAAATAATCGAGGGTAGTTCTTTAAAGCACCAGAAGACATAAACTGAAAAAGTAGCAAGCAGAAAACATTGCCTCATATCCAAAAAGGGACATGAGGGATGAATTAACATTACGCTTATTCTTCAACTCCATTCACAGTACACAGGTGTCCACGCCTCAACAGTAACACCTGGCTTTATTAAGACTATATAAGTAGACATATACACACATACACATCTATGTTGCATGTATCTATACATGCAAGTGTCTGTGTGTATGCATATGTAAACAGACATATGTATGTGTTAATTTACTTCAAAAGTTATATGCTGGCCCACTGAGAATACAGTCTAATAAGCACGAGGAAGTTTAAATAGCCATACTTTAATTTTTTAAGAACAGTATGAGACAAATTAATATAGAAAGTAAATATTTCACAAGCTTTCCTTAGGAAAATCTTTTTTAAAGAAATTACAAAACCAAAACCCATTAACAGACATGTTAATTACACAACACCATACTGGTAAGACAACCAAAAACAGTGAGTTGAAACATTATTTGCTGTTTCATACTAAAAATGACAATACCTGAAGTTGTAGGTACTTCCACAGTAATACTACTGTAAGGTGGAGGAGAAGAGTCTGTTTCCAGTACTGAGGCTGAAGGAGCAGTCTGCACAACCTGAGGTGTTCGGTTTGATGTTGATGGTTGCTCTACAGGAGATGATTCTGAATTATCCTCCTCATTGTGAAGCTAAGGAACAAATAAGAAAGGAAACAAATACAATTCTGATCATTGCTTTAAAAAATGCAAAGTTAATTTTAAAGGTCATTTCAGGCAAAGGATCACTTTTTAGTAAGATATAAAGTAAAAAAACACTTTAAAAGATGAACATGATTTCAAAGTGACTTAAAAAGTTTAAAATTTTGAGCTTCTTTAAAATGAAAATGAAGTTCAAATTAAGGATTTATAAAGAAAAAAATCATGATTACAAATAGATTCAAGTTTATTCATCGCTTCGGTCTATCACCTATCACTGTATATCACCAAAAAAAAAAAAGTATAAAAAGTGGAACATATAGCCGTGATACTATTTCTACTAGTTCCTGGAATAACTAGAAATATAAATTGAATTAATGTAATAGAATAACAATGTATAAAAACATCCCCAATTTGAGGAATACTGTAAGGAGGTTTTCTCAAGTATCACAAGAATGATTTACAAAGGAAAATGAGTTATTGTGTAAATAAAATTTGGGGAAATGTTCTTCCTCACATCAAAGATTTTTTTTTTTAATTTGTTCATACAGAACTGGGGTACAGTCCAGAGGCTCAGGGGCAAGATGCTTCACCAGAGACAGAGTGGGGAGCAGAACAGGCAGATCGACGAAGTACACTGCTGAGGGGAACAGTGGGCAGGTCAGGAGAGGTCTGCCGCCATGTGGTCACCTCCGGGGCAACTCATGCCGAAGTGGCTTTAGCTCCTCAGTGCTGTGCTTTAACCCACTGTGCCACCAGGGAGGGACCAAAGATATTTTTTTAACTATGGAACAATCTCTGTTAAATTATCCTTGTGGACAAATTTATTGAATGCTAGCTAATGATATGTTGAGCACTTATTTAATCCATTTAATCCTAGGAGAAAAAAGAAAGCCACAAAATAATTAGAGACCATCACAAACATCACAATAACCAGGAAGGGTCTAGCCTGAATGAAACCCAACCAGTGTGGCTGCAGACCTTGTACTTCATGTACAGGAAACTTTTAAATGATCACCAGTTAGGAGTCAACAGTAACTACATATAGGCAAACTAATCAGGAAGTAAGGTCTTATTATTACTTATTATTGTTGTTGCTTAAAAGAACTAGTCTTGATTTGGGAAGAACTACAAGTTTTCACCATTAGTCAATTTATCTTCATTATTTCTTCCTTTAAGAAATCAAATGTTGAGAATAAGCCTTCACAGAAATTTTTGCACAATGTACATATGTACATACAAATCTAGATCTTATGGTATTATAAAGCAAGCATGTATTTTGGAGTTGAGAAAAAAACAGTATGTAAACGTGTGTTCCACGTTTAGGACTCCTGATAAATTTATCTTCTATGATCGCTATGCCTCAGTGTTTCAAAACGTAATTTCCAAAGATAGTCAAAATCCTCACAGAACTGTGCAACAATACTTGGGAAGCATCTAACGCAATGCCTAACACACAGAAAGCATTTAATAAATACTAGTTCTCTCCTTTCATTTACTATACCTCATTTCATGGGCTCAAAGACAAAATACACGGTGATCTCAGTCCAGTAAGTACTCACTTGCTTTTAAATTATACAGACACAAAGTAAAGCAGGGGTCAATTTACAACACTGCTGTATGCATGTGTCTTGTTAAGTGGCTACACTAGCAAAACATGTTTGTGAGTGGATAAATACATAGTTTTCAACAAAATCATCACAAATAGACCTAAAATAACTTTTGAAGTTAATAAGACATTTTCATAATACCAAGGTTTATCTAATAAAGTCAACCCGCAGAAACTGAATTCTTAATAAATCAGTAACCATCAAGGGAACTGTGTGTGTGCTTCACATGTCCCTGCAGCACCTTCCAAGCAAGCACTGAGTGACCACATTCCTGACTAGCCCCCTAGTAACAATCTCCCATATTTCCCATTACCAGGTACTCAGGAAAATGTCTAGTTCAGTCATTCCTGATCAGACATAGCAGCAAACTGCTGGATAAATAACAAAGGCAGATAAAAAAGTACAGCTATATATTTGGCAGTAACAACTAAGCAGCTGAGCAATAGCAAAGATGTCAAAATGAGGAAACCACTTTTCCATTTGGAAAAGAGGGTTTACTAAGATGGAGATATAATGACCTGTACGAAAGAACAATTCCTCTATAACAACATGGCCCTCTAGTTAACTGGTTGCTCACAAAAAATACTGCTTACCATATATATCAAATACATAAATGTGCCCCCCCAAAAAATGACCAGGAGATTCTTTAAACTCATCACAATTCATTCAAAAATCTACAAGAAATAGCAAGATGCTTTTACATATGATCTCAAAACTAAAGCTTTGAAACTGTAAAGCAAACCTTAATTCATTCTTAATGTCCTACCTAACACTTTCAGTTTTATTTTTACAAAGTTATAATATGCACATTTGGAATGTGTCAACAATAAAACCCACTATCTCAGTCAATCATCTCCACCCACTATAGCACAGAACTTCCAACTTTAAGTGCAACATTGTAATTTTGATATCTTATCTGTTTTGAAGGTTTCCCTGGTGGTACAGGGGTATTCAGCGCTGCAAAGCTATGCAGTAAGAGCTCGATCCCTGGCAGAGAGGTCACCCACATGGTCCAGCAGATCTCTCCTATCTCACCTGCTGCACCCCTCAGCAGTGAATTTCTGTAGTTTCATCAGTCCTCTCCCCACTCTGTGTCTGGTGAATCCTCTCAACTCCTGTACCTCTGGTCTACACTCCAGATCTTATGTGCATAAATAAATCTTTTTTTAAAAGTCTATTCTGATTGCCTTTTAAATAAATCCATACAAGGGTTCAAATCAAATTACATGTTTATCCAAAAAGATAATGTCATTGAAGAAATTTTTCCTTCAGCATTCTGTCCAATACTTTAAGAATTACCTAAACAGGGGGGAAAGAAAAAAAAAAAGAGGCAGGACAGAAGTGAGATGGGATCTATTTGCAAAAATGAACCATATTCTGTGGGTTATCCACACAGCACCTCAAGTTATCCTCCCGGCTGGTCCTATTTATGATCCTCCTGAGTAAACATGGTAGCAAATGAAAACTAAAATATCCCTTTAACATGGTGACCAGGATGATGAATAACTGAATACTGAATCAGCACCCTGATGAAAAATAGGTTGTCTGAAATGTAGCTGTGGCTAGTCTTTACTGGTGAATGTTGAAATCTTTTAATGACAAGAAGCTATGATGAACTTGTTGGAAGTCCAGCCTTCCAGAGTATAAACTATTGTTTCTTTCAGTTTAATTAGCATATGTCTTATCTTCTAGCCTTTATTCTACCCGAAGGTGACAAAACACTAATTACCAACTGGAAGCATTGCTTTTTGAGAAGTTGAAAATGATACAAACCTCACAGAACCTTTCCTAATATGCCAAAACCAGAATCTATGAATGTAGTACAGAGAATCTCATAGCTGTGGCCTCCCTGTACCAGAACCTAATGGGTTAAACCAGTTACATGGCCTTTTCTCATTTTTCTTGCCATTTCTCTTCTGTTTCAATTTGGGCATATGTTAGAACTGCAGTAACAGAAATGTAAGTTTCTATAAAGGGGGAAAACATTTTTAAAGTCATAAAAAAAAAGATATCTGAAGAGCTGATATATTTTGGATAGTACCATATGCTGACTAAATTTAGTAGCAGAGCACAATACTGGGAAGGAAAGTTAGTAGTTGCAAGAAACAAATTTTAGCTCAACTGAAAAAAAAATTATTTAGTTATGACTTTAAATATTAGAAAACTAGCCTTTCTGTAGGGCCACAAATACTTTCAGGTAGAGTTTGGGTGATTATCTGGTTATAAGGCTGCTGTTAAATAACCAGGACAACCATACACCTGTTCTTCCTAGGACAGACCCACCTTCTTATGCCTATTGTTCTATGTCCCACTCAATTAGCATTTTCTCTACCCCTGTCAGTCTCAAAACAATGTATGGTCAACCTCCAGAAAATGGTACAATAATAATACAACATAGAAAAGATGACCAAGGTTCCTTCAAACTCTATGGTAACATGACTCTAGCAAAAACACAAGCAGTCTCTAAGATTCTGTTGCTTATTAACATCTGACTTAGAGGTTGAAGTAGGTTAAGGTTCAGTTGGTAAAGTCAAGCTACTCAGTTTAGTTACCCAAAACTACTCCATCAATGCTGCTAGGTATAAAGTATAAATAGCCAACAGGGGCTGAGGCATCTCTGCAAACAGCCTATGTGTTCTAGACCATTAGCCCAAAAGACAGGTTCCCATGAAACACTGATGCTTGGCAATGGATTTAATTTTCTACCAACAAAGCTGAATCACAGCAGTCTTCCTCATGAACACATATCTACCATTATCCAAACTAACAGGATTTTCACATCTCAAAAACTTTTCACTTAACTTCTGCTCTCTGGATATTTTTCCACTGATAGAGCTAACTTATGACAAAGCAAAAATATTAACAATTAAGAAAGAATGTATCAGCAACAAATGAATTTTTTTTTCAAAAACTATAAACTGGCAGTTCAAGTCTAATTTTCAGCTTCTTCTGAAGTGTTGGACCTGTATTGAACCAAGCTAACGCCATTTTGTGCTAACTGCCTTTTCCTCTTCTGTATCCTGCTTGCTGCTTGCTGAGATAGGAAATTCCCCAAATAACTTTGCTATAAAAGGAAGGAAACTTGTAAAAATTGATAAAATTGGTTACCGTCTGCAACAGGACCAGAATACCGGTCATATGATTGGGTCAAATGATCCCAGGGCCCACTGCAAGAATGTTATCTCTGTAACAACTAAGTTTCGTTTCCTTGCCTGCAGTGTATAAAAACTGGTTTCTGTAACTGCTCGGAGCCACACTCTCTAAAGGGTGTTGGTCTGGCTGGCTGGTGTTCTGAAGCCTGAATTAAATCTTGAATCTCTGTCTCCATATTGCCTGACTGCTTTCTTCCAGCAGCTCTAACAAAAGCTGTTTTTTATATTTTAC